CCAACATCCAAGCACTTAAGCAATTAAAGTAGCATTCGCAAACATATTCAGGAGAGGCTGACTTAGCTCTCTATCCCGACGGAACACCACACGACAAAACTGAAGGTGGAGACAAATACGGAGAAGGTCATTTCTACTTCGATCCTTTTGTTAGTATCTTGGCCAAAAAGTGGCGGCATGTCTAAATTTGGAGGAAGATGTAAATTCGGACCAATATTGAAATCGTCGAGTTCATTTGGAATCATGAACTGTTACAGATTGTCCAGGACAGATACGTTAATAATAATAAGAAGAAGAAGAAGAATATTTTTTTTAGATTTTTTTTTTATATGCAAGAATTTAGAACAGATGACTTTTTGGTATGTTTTTTTTTACTATCCTAAATATGTCAGTCAAACTTATTGAATTTTTTTACTATCCTATAAATACGCTTGCTACATTCAATGAATTATATTTTCAAAAACAAAAATAATGACAATAATAATCTATCTATAGTGTTCCGAGAAGAAGTTGCAAGCAAAAACTAATACATATAATACGAAACGGGTAAATAACATTTTCTAATGATCTTCCTCCTCATATACTGAAGCTACTCTTTCTGGATCACATTGGAATTACTAATTTCCGTGGACTTTTTGAATGATTTTCTACCAAACTGTTGTGAAGAGAAGGGCTTATTTGCATTTTTTTTTCCTTTTCATCCCCACCTGGGGTCAATGCCCTTTTCATAAGTTGGAATGGTCATAGGCTTGGAAGATGCTTATTTCATTTTGCCACCCTGACCCGATTTGCGAATAATCTTAGTAGTTTTGTTTTTGCTTTTTTGGTCCACTATCGGAGCTTATTTGTAGTAGATTGTAATAGATTTTTCCCTTCTCAATTTGTATTCCGTATTTTCTGAGGGGTACTATTTTCCTTGTGTAGTTGTCCTTTCAAGTATTTAGTGGAGTAAAAAACTTTTTGGAAAAAAAAAAACATTCTCCAATAATGATCAATGTGAAAAACAAAATCAAGTGAAAGAAAATAAAAAATAATTAAATGGAATCTTGAATACAAATATAAGTAGAAATAATCAATCTAAACATATTGTAATATTTGACAAAGTTTGACTAATGAATTATAATATCAATATACTCCATATAAATTTAATATTTTAATATATATTATAATTTCGATTGAATAATATGCAAAAACAAACCAAAAAGAAAGAGAATAAATTGACACAAGACGTGTAACCCACGTTCACCTTCCTAGTCTTATTAAAAAGTCATCCAGTCTACATTCTGGCATATCAAAAAAAATCTAAAAAGAGTGTTCTTCTTCTTCTTCTTCTTCTTATTATTATTATTATTATTATTATTATTATTATTATTATTATTATTATTATTATTATTATTATTATTATTATTATTATTATTATTATTATTATTAAAATACCTCTCCCGGACAATCTGCAACAGTTCATGATTCTAAATGAAGCCGAGGATTTTAATATTGGTCCGAATTTACATCTTCCTCCAAATTTCGACATGCCGCCACTTTTTGGCCAATATAATTTCTTTATGTCTAATCAGGTTGTCGGCCAACATAATTTCTTTATGCATGATCAGGCTCTTGAACAAGATAATTTCTTTATGCCTGATCAGGTTCATGGCCAAAATAATTTATTTGTGCCTGATCAGAGTAGAAACGGGAATCATCTAACGGCATCTTATACTATCGAATGTGTTATTTCCACCAATCAGGATTGGGGGTTCCCTTGCTTTATAGATAGAGAGGTTCTTAAGAAATCACCCTATCTTAAAGATTGAATGCACACTCAATGTTGTCATCCAGTCTGAGACCAATGTTGTTGACTTACAGTGCGAAGGTGATGATGTGGGAGTTGACTTTCTTACAATGTTGACTTCTGGTGAAGGTTCTGGCGTTGTTTTAAATGTCGGCGGTGAAAAATTTCACGCACATAAAGTTATTTTATCGGCATGTTCCTCTGTCTTCGAGTCTATGTTTGCTAGTCACTTAACGATTTCTGATCAGCATGCAATTGTCATTAGTGACGTGGAACCTCAGATGTTTAAGGTAATAATTTTTATTTATTTATGTATTTATTTTAACTTTTTTTTGTCGAAAAATAATACCTATGGAGGAGCATTTCTCTTAGCCGATTTTCAGAGAGACTCTCACTAGCGGGGAAATATAATGCATCTGAGTTGAAGCATCTTTGCTTTGAGTACGCTTTTGAAAATTATGCTGGTAAGCCTTTTTCTTTAACATATGGAGAGGGATAAAATTATGACTGATGACGATGACTACATTGTAGTGCTTGTGGAGTTGGACAGTTTCCGTTACCTTGAAAAAAACTGCCCATTGGTGCTCGATGAAATGAATGGCTAAATTTCCCAAAAAAGATCGTTATTATTGCATCCGAAGTAGATGAAGAAACAACTTCTGTAGAATCTGACTGTAAATCCAAACATTTGTAAGATTGATGAACATTATTTAGTTTTACTATTAAATCTGTTTTTAAATAGACAATTTAGCTAATTAGTATAATCGTTCTTGGTACGTGATTAGCCGGTTGTAAGATTTAAACGATTTCAATTATGAAAATCTTTCGATGTATTCGTAGTAATCAATATATTCAATAGTATTCTATGGTTTCCGATTTCCAAATAACTTTGTTTTTTTCTGTCCAATCTTTTCGATTTTTCCGATATTTTTCTTCGCACGAAATTGGAATTATTTTTTAACTTCGAAAAAATAATGTTTTTGTTTCCCCAAGTGGATCCGTCCAATCGCTTATGAATTTATAATTACCAATCGATTGTCACTATTAAGTTTTGTTGTCTTAATACTAAGAACTTCAAATGTGTTCAACTTCGTCAGAATCCAAGCTTACGCAATGCCCACCCCAGTGAATGGAAACCACCGGAAAGGGACCTTGTTAAACTTTAACTTTGATGTGGCAATAAATCTGCTCCTGCCGGAATTACAGTGGCAGCAGTTGCTAGGAATGTGGAGGGTCGCAGCTTGAGATAGAAGGTTTGTCGTGTTCATGGCAATCTTCTGCTGCTGGAAAGAGAAGCTTTAGCGGCGTTGCATACAATCAGGTTAGCTAAGGATTGGGGTTGGCAAAGGATTAGTATCGAGGGACATTGTCTTCAAGTTATTAATGCTCTGAGAAATGGAAGTGGAGAGTTATTATCGTTCGGTCCTATAGTCGAAAAATCCTGTCGCATCTCTAGGAATTTTTTGCAATGTGATTTTAGCTTTGTAATTGTCAAAAGAACTCTAGAATTTGATTTGTATGGTTTTTTAACATGTAATTAATTGACAAAAAAAAAAAAAGACATGAAATAATCGAGTTTCAATGTAAGCGTTGGGGGGGTTTAGGAGTTTTAGAGAGAGAATGTTATGAATCAGTATTATTCGTAAATACAATAATATGTAACAATCATTTCAGAATAGGATTATATGGCATGGCGATTTTCAATGTTGGTTTAAAGATTATTTGAGGGTTCATATAGCATCGCTCAAAATAAAATGCAACATTAAGTTAAAATAGGGATAATTACAGATTTGGTCCACCAAGTTTGCACGTTTTTCACTTTTGGTCCCCCATTTATCGTCGTCAACAAAATACACACTAATGGTGTCATATTTTAACATATCTAGTCCCTCCGGCGGTTGAATTTGGGGTTTCTCTTTGAGAAAGTTGCAAAAAAAACCCTGTATTCTTTCAAAATATTCTAAAAACCTCTAAAATTTTATCCAACCATAATTTAACCCAATTTCATCAATTAACCAATTTTAACCAATGACCCGATTTTCCAAAATTGGGTAATCCGACATTGACTTTATTTTTAACTCAGTTGACTCTTTTTTCGATTGATTTTTTTTGCCGCTGCTAACCGATGTTGAATGTCGGGTTAACAACATTGACATTATTTTCTTGATTTTTATTTTATTTTTATTTAAATTGTTAAGTAAGTGAAAAATATAATTTTTTTAAAAAAAAATTAAAAGTTGATAATCGGCGAGAAAATAATATCATAAAAAAGTCAAATAAAGAAAAAAGGAAAAAGTCAACGCATCTGAAAAAAATTAAGACAAAAAAAATAAAAAAATTAAAAATTAACAGCCGGTGTTAGCCTAAAAACCCGTTGTGCATGCCTAATTCATCTTCTTTATATTTTTTGGGGAAAAATTTGGGATGCACAAACGGTTACACGAAGAAAAAATTGAGGGGAACAAATTATGGATTTTAGAATTGTTTTTAAATTATATTTACGCCCTAAAATTTTAGATAAAAATATTTTTAGAAGTTTGTAATTTTAATATTACGATACTAGATATTAATATAGTATTATTATTGTGTTATACAGTAATTGTGTTGATCGGAAAAATAAAGTCACAGAAAAAAGTTCATAAAAAATCAAGAAAAATAAAAGAAGTCAACATTGTTAACCGAGAATACTATGTCGGTGAACGGCGTCAAAATAAATATTAAATAAAAAATTCAATGCCGAAAAAAAAAGTAAAAAGAAAAAATCAACGGCGGTCAACGGTCAACGGTCAGCGGTAATGGTAGTAAAAATTGGGGTCGTTTGTCAAAACTGATTAAATAATGAAATTGGGGTTAAATTATGGTTGAATAAAATTTTAGGGGTTTTTAGAATATTTTAAAAGAATGTAGGGGTCTGAATGCAATTTTTATCTATAAAAAATCTCAAATTCGGCCCAAATTCAACAGTTGACCGTTACTACTTAACGGTCTTACTTAACGGTCAAACAGACAAATGGACTAAATGTGTTAAAATGTGACAACATTAGTGTGTATTTTGGTTACGGCGGTAAATAGGGGACCAAAAGTGGAAAACGTGCAAACTTAGGGGGTCAAAACTGTAATTATCCCGTTAAAATATTTACTGCGTTTAGTATCTGTTATTGTAATTAACCATAATTTGTGAGGAAGTGACTGTAATTTAATCAATATCAAAATAATTTTCCTGAAAAATGTCAACCGGTTCTCCGGTTCTACCACCCGCCACCGCCACCACCAACAACAACCTCTTCGCCGCCGTGGACATCGGGACAAATTCCTTCAAACTGACAGTCGTCCGCGTCGATCCTTCTTCCGGCAGATTCCTCACCTTCAATCGCCTTAAAGAACCAGTCATACTCGGCCTCGACACCACCACCACCTCCTCCGCCCCCACCATCTCCGCCGCCTCTCTCGACCGCGCAATAACCGCTGTTCGAAAATTCCAGCATTTCATCCACTCGCACCGCCTTCCCCCTTCCCATCTCCGCCTCGTCGCCACCTCCGCCGTCCGCGAAGCTTCCAATAAATCCCAATTCATCGGAGCTGTTAACGAAGCCCTAGGCCTTAACGTAGAAGTCATCTCCGGCGAAGAAGAGGCGCGCCTCATTTACCTCGGGATCCTACAATTCTTCCCCGTTTTCACCTCTACAGTCCTCACAATCGATATCGGCGGTGGATCCACCGAGTTTACGGTGGGGCTTAACGGAAATGTTCTATTTTCCAAATCACTGAGACTAGGGCATGTCACTTTAACACAGCAATTCAGCGACGTTACGAAAATGCGAGAGCACATACGGAGCGAACTAGAGGCCTCTGATTTGATCGGTAAAATCAATGATTTCAAAATAGATGCTGTCATCGGTTCATCGGGTACGATTAGGGCTATTGAAAAGGCAGTGTGCAAAGGCTATGCACGTAAGATAGAGGAAAACGTTGGGGTGTTCGAGGAATTTACTAAAAGGGAGTGGAGGTTTACTAGGCACGAGTTGAGGTGTTTAGTGGAGAGGCTTTACGACGAAGAAAGTGAAATAAACGGAAAGGCGAAGAGGTCGAGGTTTTTCAAGAAACGAGCTGCATTCATTTTGGCAGGAACCGTTTTACTTGATGAGGTATTTGAGAAGCTTGCAATTGAGGAAATAGAGGTCTCGGAGTACGCATTAGGGGAGGGGGTGATTACGGAGATGCTTGGGCATGCTTTTCAAGGGTTCGATTTGAATGCAAATGCACGATGGAGGTCAGTTTTTAAGTTAGCGATGAGGTTTAATAATAAGAAGAGGATGAAGGCTGCTACTATGTGTGCGACTATTGCTAGGGTATTTATTGAATTTTTCATGAGCAATTTCGGAAACATTTTGTGGTGTATGATCTGCTTTTTCTGTTGTTTATTAAATTTGACTGTGCAGGAGATTTTTGAAGGATTGATGAAATCGAATCAGCTCTACAATGGGAATGATGATAATCAGCTTTATGTCCCCTTGGATGACAGTGATCTTGAGTACCTTGATGCTGCTAGTTTGCTTCACAATATTGGCATGTCTACTGGCAAGAAGGGTTATCATAAACAGTCTTATTTCGTTATAATGGTATATCTGCATATAATATTTTTCCGATCTTTTAATTCTTCTGGCATGGAGGAGGTATAGTTTAGGTTGAGAGGCAGTAAATCCGACCGTGAACGTTCACTATTTTTAATGGGATTTTAAACAATATATTCCCGTTCTTGCGAATGTCCCGCTTGCTTTGGCATTGTGTGAATTATAGGTGGACATTCGTTTCTTTGGTCTGTTAATTCTGCTAAACCGGACGGGACACAGTGGAAAACTACTACTAACACGAATGTGTTGTTAGTTCCATATAAATAGTGAATTCTCGTCGTTCAACTTATTTTATTGACAATTATAAGACATGAAAGTTATAGTCATCAAGCTAATTCCAAATGATGGTGGAGCTGTGGAGTACAACTATGAATAGGATTTATATTAATCTGAATTCCACAGAAATAGTGAATTTTGATAGTTCAGATCCATATAAATCCTATTCAAAGTTGAATTAGCTTGATGACTATAACTTGCATGTCTTATAATTGTTTCTTAGGAATACGTAAATAAGACGAACGATGAGAATTCACTATTTCGAAGGAATTAACCGTATAATGGTGATCATAATAGTTTTCCACTGTGCATTGAAATCAGCTAAATGACTGTGATTCTACCCTCTATATCAGAGTAGTCTAAGACTCGAAACATAGAGTCTACACTCATTTTTTTTTCTATATATATAATTTCTGCAATCTGAATCTCCTTGTCAGAATGGGGATGAACTGCAGGCTTACAGTAAGGAGGAGATTAAGGTATGGTACTTTCCTTGTAATTGAATACTTTGAGCGAATCAAAACTGTGGTTTCGAATGTCAATGACAGTTCAAAGCATTCAGATAATAGCATTGCTCGTGAGATACCATAGAAAGAAATTTCCGAAAAATGATGTTCTTGAGGGATCTTCCAAAGAGGTATCTAAATATCCGTATGATGATGTATCTATTTGAGTTTTTGTTATATATACATTCATTCGTGTTTAGCTGCTTTCTTGGAATGTTAGGTAAGGCAGAAATTCAGAATCCTTTGTGCAATTATGCGGGTGTCCTATGCAGTGCAACAATGTCTTCCTGTGAATTTTCAGTTCATGGGATTTATACATTCTCCAGAAGGTTTTAAGTTGGTAAGTTCCCTGTTTATATGCAATTGACCCCATAATTTCTAGGATTCTATCGTTTGTGCTCTCCTTAATTATATCCATTATCTGAGTTGTCAATATAGCCTATTTATACGCAATTAGCAGAGACATGAAAAACGCATGGTTAGTGGTTTCTGCATATATGTGAAAAGTTTGAAGCTTCTTTTTTCTTTAAAATACATATCATGAAAGGAACGTGTATAGTTCTAACTTCCACATGGCATTTTAGTATATTCAACGAGAAATCTCTAACTCACCCTTTTAGTCATGACCTTAAGTTCAATTTTCATTTAATCTGACTGTGGGACTTGTAAGCGGCTTAAAAGCATTCCAAAAGTTTGGAATGCTTCAATGAGGGTTCTATTTAGTGTTTTCATGGGTTTAACTTCTCATCTTGTTGTAGACTGGCTTTTTCAATGAATTATGCTTTTAGCTTCCTTTTATCTTTGTTCACCAAATTGTCAGCATTACTATTATCTGACAACATGTTTTGTTTCGTCAATCATCTTTTCATTTTGTTTGGGATTATGGTCAAGTGGTCTGAACATCCCATAGCAGTTATCCTCGTTGATATCCTAACTTGCAACTGTTTGTTGCTCATTTTTGTGGTAAACGAACAAGGTTTGAATGTAAACATTGAGTAAGATTTTGACATGCAGACCCGATCTTTTTAGAGTTTCCAATTTAAACCTCTTTTCATACCTAAGATAAGATTAGCCAAGATAACATTATTCAGTCTTACGAGAACTGGATTCAAATAATTTGACTAGGGAGAGATCCAATATACAATCCCCCAATAAGCCAATAAGTTAAGATAAGAGCTCGTTTTTCCATAATTGTGGGCCGTCCCGAAAAGTTATTGCACTAACCAAACATCAAGTAAGTAATTAAGCATGGCTTATCTTACCCACCAAACAGGCCGTAATATGCTAAAAGAATTTAATATGATGACATGTCCACTGAAGAATATGTAATCATAAACCACCTAAAATTCCTATAAAAAGAAATTTACCAAAAGATGAAGAACTTGGACTTCAAAGCATCTTAAAGTATTAGGTCTGATTAGCTTTATCAAGATTTACCTTTAGTCAGCAATCTATAGATATTACCGTTATTTTCCAAAAACTCAGTGAGAACACATCTCAGTAACAAATATAAATTTTCATTTAGATTGGTACGAGTAGCCATAATACGACATTTCTCTCCCTTTTGTACGGTTATTTGTGTTCTCAGATGTACATTTGTTGCCCTAAGAAGCTTTCAGATATTTAGAATATTATGGTTCGCTTTTACGACTACAAGAAGCAAATTTTTATCTGGTGGACCAATTTGTTTTAACTGTTTCCCAAACTTTATTGCAACGGATCCTCATATGATGGGTATATTAACCTTAAATTTGAAAATACATACCTACAAATAGGAGATTGGATTTGTTATGGTCGTAATCATTTATAGGTTCACAGGTTGCATCATAACTAGATATGAACTTCTGGAAACTAAAGGCAAAATCTGATTTTCTAGATCCAAATAACTTACACTCCTCCTGTTTGAGATTTTCCCTTCTGGAGCAGTCCCTCAAATAAACTCATAGAAAAAACAGAAGTAGAACCATTTTTTTTCGGAGATGGAGCACTAAAAGAAAATTAAGTGTGCTTATTCTAGTAGGAATTTGAATGTTTTACATTAAGCTCATGTGTGAGTTTTGGGCCAAAAGCCACTATCTCTTTATTCTAGTAGAAAATTAAAGTGTCATCATATTACATCCTTCACTATCATGGCAAATACAAGTCTATATTAAAGAAAGATATAAGGAGAACTTCTCTTACGGTGGTCCATATAGAAGAAGAATTGAACCATCGGGTGAATAATTTACTCCACGGGTAAGTATTCACTATTTTATTCTCATGAAAGTTGTGTTGAATTGCATCGCCCTGGGCCCCACTCTGTTAGAGGCATGATAGGTTTCATCTGGTACTTACTTACTCACTAATGATTTTGGTACTGCATTATAAAAATGTGAGTATGTGCTTTTCAGAGCATGAAAACATCTATATATTTATATTGCATGATTTTCATTATAAGCACAACTTTATGCTTTACGTTTAATCAGTTTTTTTATAGAAATCTATTCGAATGATTATGCAACTGCTGCAAATTCTTAATCACTCGATGTTAATTTCCTTGGCCGTAAAATTAGGCTTGTGTCTGGAAACAGGTTAAGCTCGGTGCTTGGTAACATTACTATGTTCTAGTTGCTGTTGTAACTTGTATGTGGTTTTATTCATTTACGTGTCACTTTGTGTTGAAAATATGTGACGGTTCCCATAATTGAGGACAAAGTTACTAGCTTCAGAATCTCGAGTTGAAGTTACTTAATTTAATCGTATCACGCTTCTCTTAGTGGTGTATGAATCAATTTCAGGTACTAAGTGAAGGTGAGGCAAGAAACCAGTCCACTGATATTGTGCACCCATTATTAGCTGGTGATATGAATGTGTTGATGGAGAAAGAATTTGAACACTTTAGTATGGTAAAGATTGTTCTTATTACCATGATTTATTATTGAAGATCTTTTTTTCTTCTTATTTTCAGAATTACCATTAATATTTTTTTGTGCAGGTTTTAAAGCAAAAGTTGTCAATTCTAGTTACTTGACGGCAAACTGCAACTTGAAGTTGTTGATGATCTTAGTAGTTGATCGTGTATTTGGAATGATTTGTAGAATATGAATTGGCTTGTATTATAATTGTAATTTTTGAAAGGGATAATGGCAAATAAGCCCGTAACACACCAATTAATTTAAATAGTGACATTCAACTTTTTTGCTTGTAAATAAATCAACCACTCCGGTACTTATAATAGTCATTGACGTTGGGGCAACCTAACAAATCCTAATAGAATATTTGTTATTTTTTTTAAATTAATAATGTTTTTAGTTTTTTATCTCCTATTTTTCAACCATTTTTCTCGAATTATTTTCATATCAAATTAGATTTGCAAATCAACCGCTATTGGTTAGATTTTTTTCTCTCGGTCTCCTATTTTCGAACATTTTTTCTCTAATTACTTTCAGAGCAAATCAAATTTGCAAATCAACTAAGAAAATCATAATCCACTCGAATAACAAATCGGCTAGCCATTACGTCTTTTTTTTTTTAATCTCCTATTTTCCAGCCTTTTCCATCTACTACTATTCCACTGCAAACACTCTCCTATGCTTATAGATACCAACTCTGTTTCTCTCTCTCTGCAGATTCCGAGGAAAAACCCAGGTATATACATCCTATTTATTCCTTCCCTTCTCGGGTACCAATCCACAATTGGTTTCACGTTTTGCGACTTCATTATCTTGGTTGAAATAATTTTGTTTTTCCAAACTTATTGGATTCACGTCTTGCTTATTTATTATCTTTGTTGATTTATTTTTATTTTTATTTTTCATAACTTATTTGAAACAACATCATTAAGAAATTGGCAACAACAACAATATGCTTATAGTTGTCGATTTTCATGCAGAATGACACAAAAAGCTACATACCTCATTGATATTAAGTCGGCTCTCATATATATTGTCATCCAATAGATTCCCTCTCTACTGCGTTAATTGTAATAGAATATTTCAGATTATTTGCAATATTCCTCCAACAATTCCAATCTTACCCTCGAACACGCGGCATATTCTACATATGGACTAAAATACCCTAAGGGGTGATTACAAGGTTTTAATTTCTTGAGGGGGTCCATTGCAATGTATTTAACTATGATTATTTTGTTACAAGGGTTGGGGATATGATGGCTTATGGTTTAAGAGGTCCATTGTAAGGGTTTTTCTTAAGTGCTTATGGTTTACCTTAGAGATTGTGAGTTAAGTTGGACTTAAGTGCTTATTTCTAAAAGTTGAGAGTGTTTGCAAATTAGCTGGAAAATCAACTATAACAGAAAAAAAAAAAAAAAAAAAAAAAAAAAAAAAAAAAACCAGGTAATGGGTGCTTTTAAAATTGTAGCTTAAAACAACTTATTTTAAGAGAAGCAAAAGTAAAAGCTTGTTTTGCAAACACCTAAAACCAGATTATATGTGCAGAAAAAAACTTATAATCTATTTCTAAAAGCACTTGCAAACACCACCTTAACCACAAACAAATTGATGCATACACATTTTTTTCATTTCATTAGACATTTCATAATTATGTTAGTTTGAGGGGATGGTTGTAATATGTCAAACAATAGGCGAATATTTGTAATTTAACCATACTGCCTCGGACCGATTGTAATTTACCCTAGTTATGAACTCATTGTTGATTGATATTCAAATATAATTTTGTATTTTTTTCTTCTTAGAATCAATATAGTTTTGTATTTGATTGTAAAAAATAGGATTTTATTTCTAAGTTCATATATTTTGACATGTGTAGATCGAACTGTTTTGTTAGATGTTAGAAGTCAAAGATAATGCAAACAAACACAAAGCATCTTTCCTAGAAAATGTCCATTGAAATTTTGATGATTAATAGAGTAGAGAACTTGCTTAGTACTTCACTCTTTTTGTACCTCAAATATTTCTCTAAGTTGACCTTCAATTGGTTTATGCAATAAAATTCCTTCTTATTCACCATAAGATAATTTTAATTTACAAGTAATTTATTTTACATGATTATTTTTCCAAAATGATTTAACATCATAAAGTTTTTCTCATTACATATATCCATCTCAAGTTAATTTTCCCTTAAGATTTTGACACATGTATCAAGAAAGCTACTAAATATTCAAGAATTTTAGAGAAAAATCTACATGAGTAAAAGGTCCTCTCACTAATTCTATCTCCATTAGTTACTTCTTTTGTTTGTGAAAAATAATGTTTGAAATAATTTAGATATAATAAAGGCAAAAGCAAAATGTAGGTAATATATTAATACATTATTAATTAAATTCTAATTAATAAATATAATTAAACCTAATTCAAACTCTTTCCTTCCCCGTGAAATAGTCAAATACTCGCAACTCTTTTCTCGATTACGTCATCTTTCAATAGAGTCTCTAAACTCCATGAGACTCCATATAGAGCCTCTAAATACTTTTTAAATATAGAATATTTCTTTTTTCTTTTTTAATAAATTTAGGATTGTATATATATCGAGACTTTGATCTAAAGGCTGGATAATAAATTAAAGGGATTTTTATGCAAAAGTCCCCAACCAAGCATGTTTATTATTCTAGGTTTAGGGGATATATATCTTTCACCAATAAGCTCATCCCTTTAATATTTATTATAACTAAAGGAAACATTCATGTATATCCCAATATTACCCTCAATCATTTATACCCAATTCTTAATTGTAACCCCAATTTATCAATTTTGTCCACAAAAATTCAATTTTGACCACAAAAATTCAATTTTGACTTTTTTTTGGAGTATAATTTAATATGCTCAAATTTCATCATTAACTTAATTTAATCTCAATTTGACCCCAAATTTCACAAATTATTAAATTTTGACCCAAAATTTTTTTTTTGCCGCCGGATTCCGGCGTTGACTTTTCTTTCTTTTTTTTTTTCTTCCGGATTTTTTCGCCGGTTTCCAGCGTTGACTTTTTTTTTTTTTTTTTTGCTTTTTTCTTTTTTTTTTTCTTTTCTTTTCTTCCGGATTTTTTCGCCGGTTTCCGGCGGTCTCCGGCGTTGACTTTTTTTAGTGCTTTTTTAAGTTTTTTTTTTGTTTGGTTTGTTTTGTTTTTCCACGTCCGCCGCTAAACGTTGACCGTAATTGTGCTGTCACTGACAGTAAATTAACGTAATTATACTGTCAATGATAGTTAATTAACGTAATTGTACTGCCGTTGACATTACATTTATGTAATTGTGCTGCCGTTGACAGTAAATTAATGCAATATTATTATTTTTTATTTATTATTATTTATTTTTTATTTTTTTTGATTTGTTGACAAGTCAACGTAATTATATTACTGTCGTTGACAGTAAAATAACTGTAAACACAATAATATTACTGTCAACAACATCAATATTATTATTTTTTTGGGGTTTTTGTTTTGTTTGAGTTATTCACGGAGTAACGTATTAATATTACTACTGTCTATTATTGTAATATTACTGTAAACACAATAATATTACTGTGGTTGACGGTAATATTACGGTTGTTATAGTAATATTCCTGTCAACCACATCAATATTATTATTTTGTTTGGATTTTTTGTTTGTTTGAGTTATTCACGGAGTAACGTAATAATAATATTACTGTCTACTATTGTAATATTACTGTTGCTATAGTAATATTACTGTCACTCACACTAATATTAATTCTTTTGGTTTTTTTTATTATGTTTACATTTATTGAACGGACAACATAGTAATATTACTTTATTACACAATAATAATGAGTTTTGTTGTGTTAATATTAATGTGCTAGAGATTAATATAGCAATATCACTGTGTTAAACTATAGTTTAGTTAATTTTACTGTGTTTAACAGTAATATAGTTAATATTACTGTCATTCACAGCAATATTGCTGTTTAAACGGAAAAAAAAGTTACAGAAATTTTTTTTTTTTAAAAAGTCAACGCCGGAATCCGGAAAAAAATCCGGAAGTAAGAAAAACAAAAAAAAAATTAAAAAGTCAACGCCGGAATCCGGCGGGAAAAAAAAAGTTTTGGGTCAAAATTGAATAATTTGTAAAATTTGAGGTCAAATTGAAGTTAAATTAAGTTAAGGATGAAATTGGAGCATATTAAAGTAAGAGGGGTTATTTTAGTCCTTTACAAAAATCTGGACCATGTGTGGACTTATTGGTAAAGGAGATTATTGTCTAGATCTCTTTATGAATAAGTACCCACTAGTTCATGTGTGGACTTATCGGTCTCCGGCATTGACTTTTCAATTTTTTTAATTTTTTTTCGCTTCCGAATTTTTTCGCCAGTCTCCGGCGTTGACTTTTTCGATTTTTTTTTCTTCTTCTTTTCTTTCTTTCTGTAATTTTTTTTTTCATTTAAACAACAATATTGATGTGATTGACAGCAATATTAACTATATTACTGTTAAACACAGTAAAATTACTAAACTACAGTTTAACACAGTAATATTACTATATTAATCTCTAGCACAGTAATATTAACACAACAAAACTCATTATTATTGTGTAATAGAGTAATATTACTATGTTGACCATTCAACAAATGTAAACATAATAAAAAACCAAAAGAATTAATATTACTGTGAGTGACAGTAATATTATTATAACAACAGTAATATTACCGTCAACCACAGTAATATTACAATAATAAACAGTAATATTATTACGTTACTCCGTGAATAACTCAAACAAAAAAATCTAAACAAAATAATAATATTGATGTGGTTGACAACAATATTACTATAACAACAGTAATATTACCGTCAATCACAGTAATATTATTGTGTTTACAGTAATAGTACAATAATAGACAGTAATATTATTACGTCACTCCGTGAATAACTGAAACAAAACAAAAAACCAAAAAATAATAATAATATTGATGTTGTTGATAGTAATATTATTGTGTTTACAGTTATTTTACTGTCAACGACAGTAATATAATTACGTTGATTTGTCAACAAATCAAACAAAATAAAAAGAATAACAAAAAATAAAAAAATAATTATATTACATTAATTTATTGTCAACGGCAGAACAATTACATAAGTGTATTGTCAACGGCAGTACAATTACGTTAATTAACTGTCATTGACAATATAATTACGTTAATTTACTGTCAGTGACAGCACAATTACGGTCAACGTTTAGCGGCGGACGTAAAAAAAAAGACACACAAAAAAAAAAGTTAAAAAAAACACTAAAAAAAGTCAACGCAAAAAACCGGCGAAAAAATTCGGAAGAAAAGAAAAGAAAAAACAAAAAGAAAATGTCAATGCC